ATAGGGAGAGGGAGGGAGTGAGGAAGGAAGGAAGGTTGCTGTGAGCTGTGATGCCACAGGACTCTACTGAGGGTGACATAGGGAGAGGGAGGGAGGGAGGGAGGAAGGAAGGAAAGAAAGAAGCTGTGAACATTCATGTTTTTTATGACAGCATCATCTGCCATTTCCCCAGGATACATGACCAGAAGTGTAAACGCTAAGTTATAGTAATTACAAGTTTACTTTTATTTAAAAAACTGCCAAACCTTTTCAGAGTGGCTGTACTATTTTACATTCCCGCCACCAGCGAATGAGAGATAGCATTTCATCTTTGTAGCATTTGTAGTGTGAATAATTTTTATTTCACCCTTTTTGACAGGTGTACAGAGGTATCTCATTATGATCTTAGTTTGTATTTCCCCACCAGCTAAATGACAGTGATCATCTTTTCCTGTGCTTATCTATCCTCTGTATATCTTCATGATTTTTGCCCATTTTCTAACTGGATTTCTTGAGGTTTTTACTGTTTAGTTCTGAGAGTTTTTTAATATGTTCTAGATACAAGTCCTTTGTTGGATATGTGGCTGCAAATATTTTTTCCCACTTTATAGCTTTTCATCTTCTTAACAACGTCTTCCACAGACCAAACATTATCAATTTTTGTGAGGTCCAATTTATCAATTCTTGCCTTTATGGACTGTTCTTCTGATGTCAAGTCTAAGAACTCTATACTTAGTCTTAGATCCTGAAGATTATCTCCTGTGCTCTTATCTAATTTTATGTTTTACATGAAAGTCCAGTGTTTTTCTTTTTGAGACAGTCTCACTATGTTGCCCTAGGTAGAGTGCTATGGTGTCACAGCTCACAGCAACCTCCAACTCTTGAGCTTAAGTGATTCTCTTGCCTCAGTCTCCCAAATAGCTGGGACCACAGGTGCCTGCCACAACGCCTGGCTATTTTTTTGTTGTTGTTGCAGTTGTTTAGTTGGCCCAGGCTGGGTTTGAACCCACCACCCTTGATGTATGTGGCTGACACTATAACCACTGTGCTATGGGTGCCAAGCCAAAGTCCAGTGTTTTTTTTAAAAAAAATTCCTGTACCCAGATTTTCCTGTTCCTCAAAGCACTAGTGTCTTGTTTACTTATAGCAGCTGATAAGCTAGAATCTCACAAATAAGTCCAGAGTGTATTTTCAGGAATTTCTAAATTTCAAGAGAAAATGTAAGTCTTAAGCGTCCCACATATTCTAAATTATGTACTTAACTTTGTAATCTCAGCACTTAACTCACTGTTTACCCAATGTTTACCGAATAAATTAATCATACAAACAAGAATTTACTTAATTTCCTTATTACCTTATGGTGTAAATGCTTGTATGATAAATATTGCTTTATAAAATGTAAAAATCATATTACAAAATAATAAAGCAACAGAATTCTTTGGGATCTTTTTAATAGCACCTCTCATAGAATCCACCAAAACATCTACACCAATATGAAAATACAACAAAATTTTAATTCTATGCAAAATTAAAACAGGCAGAAATACAAACTACTATAATATCTTAATACAACCAAGAGTCAACACAATCATAACACAGGTGAAAGCAGCTCAGTCTAGTCACAAATTAATGAAAATTTAATAGGTTAAAATCATTACTTTAGGAAAAAGGAAATACACATATATACCCCTAGATTATTTAATCCAACTTTGGTGAAAACATAAGCTCTCACTAGAGCAGAAATTTTTGTTCATATCATCTACAATTCTATCAGCTACAAGTACATTCATCATATCATTGTCTATAAAAGAAAACTCTATTTGTCCACAACAAAGGATTTGTAAATTATTGTAAATCCATGGAAGAACTATTATGTGGTCATTAAAAATGAAATATAAGAACTTCTGATAATAGAAAATGTTCATGATGCAAGTTAAAAATGTTCATAAGTCTAATATATAATTCCTATTTCCATTTCTGAGGGGAAGAGTATACAGAAGAAAGGCTCAGAGAAATCATGAACAGTGTTATCTCCGATTTCCAAACTTTTCACAATAGATATATGCTTTTGAAATAAATAAAATTTTTTAATACTTGTGTATTAATTTAGTAGAGATATATTGTTTTAGTTTTGCTAATGAAACAAAAATCAATTATCCCCTCCCACAACACAAGAATTAATTTACCACCTGAGTTGGAGTAATGATGGGTACACCTCCAACAATATCAGTTCTGTAAGACACCTGCTTCTTCCCACAATCACTTTGGCGACTTAGGTTATCAGAATTAGGTTGTGAGTCTGACTGCTTTGGTACCTGAAATAGTAAATCAAATTAATCATTTTGCAACCAGCATTATATATGTGACCCTCTTTTATCGCAGAATTTCTAATTAATTGTCCATTTATAAGTGACAAATCCATATGAAAATTATTTACAGTGCATGTGTATGTACTCTAAGTTCTCACACTTAATTTTTGTGTTAGAAAAATACTTTTTTTTTTTTTTT